AGCGCTATCAGGTGCTAATCTGCAAGGAGCACGCTACAGGCATACAGAACGTCGATGTGCATCTGCGCGACCAGCACGGCGTAGCAAGCGAAGAGAGGAAATCAATTGTAGAGCACTGCCGGCAATGGCAGATCGCCGCACCGCAAGATGTTGAGCTGCCTGCGCCGTTGGGGCCGCCGATTGAGCAGCTAGGCGAGCCGTTAGACGTCTATCAATGCAGGATCACTAGCGACTGCGGCTTCTGTACCGCAAACAAGATCAGAATGCAGAAGCACTGCAACAACGTACACTAGACAGCTTAGAGCAGTAAAGACATTGGACTCTGTAAGAAGGTTATAGCACAGACGTTCTTCTAAACTAGCAGGCTCTAGCAATACTTTGTTATTAAGGTAGCAGACAACAATTACACACTATCTAACCCCTATAAGACAATAGATGTTGTTAGGGAGTAGCTGGCAGAATAGACGCTGACAAAACACGCAAATAAAGAGAAGGCGCAGGTTATAGACGCTGAAGTTGCAAAGACAGATAAAACTGGCTAGTCTAAGCGGACAGGCTGGCTAGAGCACTTTGCTAACCGCAATCTAATGCATCTTGCGCATCAGACCCAGCTGCCCGATCGAGGTGAGGAGAAGCTGCGGCGGGCAGCGAAGCTAACGGAGCTGCTAGTGGAGAGAAGCGTCAAGGGGCTGTTGACGCTTGCGCGAGAGACAAGGCGGTGGCTGAGGAGCGCAAAGTAACAGGAGATTGATCAGCAGCCTATAGCTTGATTACAGAACCTGGAGAGTCAGGCCTGCTACGCTGGCTACATGGTCAAATTTGTCTGCTACGCTCTGCGCTTCGTGGCTGACGCAGAGGCAAGGATGGCGGCGCAGGAAGGCAGCAACGAGGGCAGCGACAAAGATGATAAGGGCGACAAGGATGGCTTAGAAGGAGAGGAAGAGGAAGAGGAAGAAGAGGAAGAGAACAACAACGACGACTTCTCTAATACTAACAGCAGCTAACTAGCGAACGTCCTAAGCAGCAGCTAAAGAGAGAAGGACTTGATAAAAGACGCGCAAGAGCTGTTCTGCTGGACAGTTGAGCAGAAGGAGCTTGTAGTAACACTGTAGGAGATGTTGGACCGCGATGCTGACGCTGATGACGAAGCGCAGCGCAGCGCTCAGCGCGACGCTTAGCTCAAAGTGCTGCTAAACTTGCTCACATCATTCTTCTTCACAACAACAGGTGACAAGCTGTTTAGCAGCGGACTTATTCACTTTCTTGCTGTGCTGGGCATCAACAGCAACACAAACCACTTGCGCACGGCAAAGAACTACTTATACATGCTAGCAGGCGTAGTCTACTGCATGCGCGTGCTTAGCGTGGAGAAGTTGCTCCCATCCGCGTGCTGCGATGAGCAGACTGACGAGGATTGTGAGCGCTTCTTAGAGCACAGAGAGAAGTATCTGTCGGACGGCTCGTACAGCCTGATGAGCGAGGCGCTCAGCTTGCTGGCTTACGGCAAGTACGTCGCGCTGGCAGCCGGCAACCCAGGCAACGCGTACTGGTCAAAGGACAAGAAGATCTTCTACTTGCACGGCCGGCAGATCTACATCAGCCGCTTCTGCAAGATGGCGCAGGACATGGTGTCTGAAGCAGAGCAGATGCTGTAGGAGGAACTATTCTAGGTGACAAGGGCAGAAGAGTAGTTTGCTGTTAAGCTAGACATACTTATTAATAACGTCATGTTTAAACAGCAGGGCGTGTCTTTTGTGCAGCACTATGATAATAGTCTTTAGGACAAGCTAGAGTGGATGCTGACGCAGGCTAAGCAGACTAAGCAGGGCCGCAGACTGTAGTCAAGCGAAGGGCAGTGGAACGTGAAGCATGTCAAGCGATACTTGCGTTGCATGGACTGCTTCTTAATGCTGCTAATGGTCTGCGTGCACACGACATCCGGACAGCCAGGCAGAGGGTCAGAGATTACGACGATGCGGCACCGCAACAGGCTGCTGCAGGACCGCAACATCTTTGTCATAGACAGACAGGTGATGACGGTTGTCCGCTATCACAAGTCGCAGTCGCAGTGGGACAAGCCGAAGGTGGTGCCGCGCTTCTTGCCGCCGCGGCTAGGGCAGGTGATGGTGCTGTACTTGGCGTACTTGCAGCCGTTCCGTGAGTATCTCACCGTGCAGGTGCTCGGTGGCAGCTTCAGCGACTACGTGTGGGCGGACGAGCAGGGCCTGTGGGGGACTGATCGACTGACGCGAGCGCTGAGGCGAGAGACTGGCAAGAGGCTGGGAGTGCCGCTGCACACGCTCGACTACCGGCACGCAGCTGTCAGCATCAGTCGAGTTGTTGTAGGCGAGCGGTTCAGCAAGGGCT